CTACATCACCAACACCTACACCACATACACCTACACCACCTACATCTACATCACCAACACCTACACCACCTACATCTACATCACCAACACCTACACCACATACACCTACACCACCTACATCTACATCACCAACACCTACAACACCTACACCACCTACATCTACATCACCAACACCTACACCACATACACCTACACCACCTACATCTACATCACCAACACCTACACCACCTACACCACCTACATCTACATCACCAACACCTACACCACCTACACCACCTACATCTACATCACCAACACCTACACCACATACACCTACACCACCTACATCTACATCACCAACACCTACAACACCTACACCACCTACATCTACATCACCAACACCTACACCACATACACCTACACCACCTACATCTACATCACCAACACCTACACCACATACACCTACACCACCTACATCTACATCACCAACACCACTTACACCAACTACACCACCTACACCTACACCACCTACATCTACATCACCAACACCTACACCACCTACATCACCAACACCTACACCACCTACAACTACATCACAAACACCTACACCAACTACACCATCTACATCACCAACACCTACACCATCAACACAACAGTTCTATCCCACCTTCACAACTCCTACTGATATCTGCTGTTGTTGGCAAGACATTTAACTCCACTTTGCCTGAAGCCCCCGCTGAAAGATCAAGGCTAAGATCACACAGACAAGAGCAGCCTCCTGTGGACTCACCTCCTGCAGGAGGGTCAGTGAGGGGCTGGTGCTCCAACCACCACCTACCCAGAAATGGATTAAGGGGAAGAAAGATGAATGGATGAAGGAGAAATGTGTCCAGCAGCAGAAACATCCAAACATATAAATAAATAAACACATATTTGTAAAAGTTTCTAACAATAATAATAAAGTGCAGCAGCACCTTTCTCTGCTCTGGTCTGGACCAGTGTAAAACCATGAACACTGTTCTACAGAAACATTTATATTTTCTATAAAACACAAAACAACAGTTTCAGAGGATTCTAAACCTCAGAATGTACCTCTGTACCATTCCTCTGGATCTGACACCTCCTCACACCTCCTCCTGACACCTCCTCTCTCCTCCCCCCACCTCCTCCTTCTTCTTGTGCCTCCTCTTGCTGCAGCCCTATACATAATTAAACACATCTCTTTCACAAACACTGCTTCGTAACAAATGGTTTTCTCCAAAATGAAAAAGCCAAAACTCTCAAAACAAATGATCCGCTTTGGAAATAAATCTGCAGCCATTAGAAAAGTCAGGACTGGACTCAGGACCGGACTCAGGACCGGTCTCAGAACCGGACTCAGGACCGGACTCAGGACCGGACTCAGGACCGGACTCAGGACCGGACTCAGGACCGGACTCAGGACCGGACTCAGGACCGGACTCAGGACTGGACTCAGGACCGGCTTCTGGACCGGACTCAGATATTATGTGTTTGTTTCATTTCTTTTCATCCCTTTATTAGTCAATTTCTGTGTGGACCGGCGGCAGTCAGAGCTACCCAATGCACACAGCACCAGTCTCTGATCCTCCTGCAGGAGGTGGGTCCACAGGAGGCTGCTCCTTCAATGAAGACATGGCCTTGATATGTCAGCGAAGGGGTTAGGTGTCTTGCCCAGGGACACAACGACAGCAGACATCAGTGAGAGCAGATCATGTGGTCGTGGTGAAATCTCGCTCTACCAACTGAGCAACTGTCGCCCCAGTACAATCAGTGTTTGTATTATTCATAAAACCCGAGTCCAGACCTGAGTCCAGAGAAGCAGAGAAGGCCCTGTCCCCGGGTTTTAAGGTCTAGTGGTGCATTCAGACCGCAAACGCTCAAACGCTGAAGCCTCGCTCACCAGACGCACATTCTCTAGTTTTCAGATGCAGGGATCTTCACACCAGAACGTCCTGGCCAGCGCCGGAAGTGCCGGAAGTAGCCGGCGGGCTCTGATGCTAACAGAGTTATGCTAGCGGCTTCTTGTGTACAGATCTTCTAAAATATGCAGCTTTGCAGCGTGTCTTTGAACAGAGACCTTCCACGGGCTTTATACAACAGTAATACAGTGCCTTGCGAAAGTATTCGGCCCCCTTGAACCTTTCAACATTTCGTCACATTTCAGGCTTCAAACATAAAGATATAAAATTTTATTTTTTGTCATGAATCAACAACAAGTGGGACACAATCGTGAAGTGGAACAAAATGTATTGGATAATTTAAACTTTTTTAACAAATAAAAAACTGAAAAGTGGGGCGTGCAATATTATTGGGCCCCTTTACTTTCAGTGCAGCAAACTCAGTCCAGAAGTTCAGTGAGGATCTTTGAATGATCCAATGTTGTCCTAAATGACTGATGATGATAAATAGAATGCACCTGTGTGTAATCAAGTCTCCGTATAAATGCACCTGCTCTTTGATAGTCTCAGGGTTCTGTTTAAAGCGCAGAGAGAACCATGAAGACAAAGGAACACACCAGGCAGGTCCGAGATACTGTTGTGGAGAAGTTTAAAGCCGGATTTGGATACAAAAAGATTTCCCAAGTTTTAAACATCTCAAGGAGCACTGTGCAAGCAATTATATTGAAATGGAAGGAGTATCAAACCAATTAAATGTAGAAAATTCATTTTGTCTTCTTATGTTTATGACTTTTTAGGTTCTTCTAATAAGACAATTAAAGCAAAACCAAGCTAGTGCTGCTTAATTACCTGACATGTTTCGGCGGTACACTTCCGCCTTCATCAGAGGCGGAAGTGTACCGCCGAAACATGTCAGGTAATTAAGCAGCACTAGCTTGGTTTTGCTTTAATTGTCTTATTAGAAGAACCTAAAAAGTCACGAGTATCAAACCACTGCAAATCTACCAAGACCCGGCCGTCCCTCCAAACTTTCATCTCAAACAAGGAGAAGACTGATCAGAGATGCAGCCAAGAGGCCCATGATCACTCTGGATGAACTGCAGATAACTACAGCTGAGGTGGGAGAGTCTGTCCATAGGACAACAATCAGTCGTGCACTGCACAAATCTGGCCTTTATGGAAGAGTGGCAAGAAGAAAGCCATTTCTCAAAGATATCCATAAAAAGTCTGGTTTAAAGTTTGCCACAAGCCACCTGGGAGACACACCAAACATGTGGAAGAAGGTGCTCTGGTCAGATGAAACCAAAATCAAACTTTTTGGCCACAATGCAAAACGATATGTTTGGCGTAAAAGCAACACAGCTCATCACCCTGAACACACCATCCCCACTGTCAAACATGGTGGTGGCAGCATCATGCTTTGGGCCTGCTTTTCTTCAGCAGGGACAGGGAAGATGGCTAAAATTGATGGGAAGATGGATGGAGCCAAATACAGGACCATTCTGGAAGAAAACCTGTTGGAGTCTGCAAAAGACCTGAGACTGGGACGGAGATTTATCTTCCAACAGGACAATGATCCAAAACATAAAGCCAAATCTACAATGGAATGGTTCACAAATAGACGTATCCAGGTGTTAGAATGGCCAAGTCAAAGTCCAGACCTGAATCCAATCGAGAATCTGTGGAAAGAGCTGAAGACTGCTGTTCACAAACTCTCTCCATCCAACCTCACGGAGCTCGAGCTGTTTTGCAAGGAAGAATGGGAAAGAATTCCAGTCTCTCGCTGTGCAAAACTGATAGAGACATACCCCAAGCGACTTGCAGCTGTAATTGCAGCAAAAGGTGGCGCTACAAAGTATTAGCGCAAGGGGGCCGAATAATATTGTTAAAAAGTTTAAATTATCCAATACATTTTGTTCCACTTCACGATTGTGTCCCACTTGTTGTTGATTCATGACAAAAAAATTAATTTGTATATCTTTATGTTTGAAGCTTGAAATGTGGCAAAATGTTGAAATGTTGCGAATACTTTCGCAAGGCTCTGTATGTGTTCACGGAGGTGCGCCATACGTTTTTTGTATTATTAAACGGTATTTCCGCATCTGCGAACACACTCGAAGCAGTTGCATAAAGTCACGGATCATGACAACGCATATTTTCACAAGCACAGAGTCTCCCATTGTCAACCCTGGTTTGAGTTCTGGTGAAATCTGGTGTGGGTCCTGTTTTGGCTGTTTACAGTATTTTCAGTCTGCTCGCTCAGTCCGCTAATGTCCCCGTGACCACTTTGCTGTTCTCTGATTGGTTGTCGCATGAACGTCCCAAGGAAAGGATGAGCAGAATCCATCTCCTGTGGGCGTTGATTTTTCGCTCCTCCTCCTCCCTTTAACTTTCTCGCCAAGTCCGTGCGTGTCTACTGAACAGTCCGTCCGTGCGTGCCGAGCGGTCCGTGCGTTGTGACCAGTGGGGGCGGGTCCCAGCTCAAAAGTGGCCAAAATGACGTGCGCCGACATACTGCAATACCACCCCGGGCCGATGGGGGTGGACCCAGAAGAAGAATTAGCCAATTCTAACATATAGCGTTGGCAGACCTGTCAAAAACGTCTTTACAGGATGGACCAAAAGTTGGCTCTTGGCCCAAAGCTCCGTTCCACATGTGTGTCAATGCTGAGGGGGGTGGATTTTTGAAGTCTCTCGTTCAAATGAACGGAGCTGCTCGGGCTGACGCATGCGCAGATGCGTTTTTTCACAATTTTCTTGTGGGCAGGACCACTCGCTGCCATTTTGGATTGCTCCAGTAGAGCACATTTTTTGGCCCATTTGTTAGAACGGCGGAGATAGGCGTGACTCTGTCCATTAATATATACAGTCTATGGTTGTGACGCTCGAACGCGAGTCACCATAGACTTTGCATTAAAGCAGACGCAGCATGATCCGGTCTGAACGTGGCATTAGGCCCCACAGACTTCAGGGTCCAGACTGATCCTGGATTAAAGCTGAGGGACCTAACTTCAAACTGTAGCGATGTAATAAAATCCCTGTCAATAGTTTTTGGCTGAAAATCGTTTGGTTTTTTTCTCCAGTTTTCACATGTTTTTATTT